CACACACACACACACACACTCTCACACACACACACACACACACTTGCCCTGCTAAACTCACTGCTGGGAGATTTGGGACGCGAGCGGAGCTGGCAGCCGTCAGGGAAACACACTACAGCAGTATAACACGCGCGCGTTTCTCCTGCGGATGCAGAGGAGAGAAGTGCACATCTGTGTCAAGCCATCAGGAGCTCCAGTAAACCAGAAGAGAGGCATGAATAAATAAACTCGGCGTCCTTAAAGTCAGGGCTCCGCGAGCGGCTCGGAGGACAACTATGGGAGAGATGGAGACGTTCGCTGACAGAATCATGTCAGAGCACAAACACTCACGCAAACAAAGCATTCGAGGTCGGGCTGGTTAGGTGTTGCAAACACACAGGAACATGCTATTGCTCATTGTTTCTTCTAGAATACCTCAGGAGAAATAGAAGCCAAACAAGTCATCCAGTAAGAGTATAAAGCTATCAAATGTGACCCTGGACCACAAAACCATTCGTTAGAGTCCAGCTGAATAAATAATCTTTCCATTGATGTATGGTTTGTTAGGATAGGACAATATTTGAAAATCTGGAATCTGAGGGTGCAAAAAAATCTAAATATTGAGAAAATCATCTTTAAAGTTGTTCAAATGAAGTTCTTAGCAATGCATATTACTAATCAAAAATTACGAATCTCGAACAAAAGCCTCCATCTAATAATATCAGTGCTGTCTGTGAGAAATGATAGAGATCTCACTTAGAGATTTATTCACGTAAAGGTCATTGCTCAGAAGCTGGTCTTTCATATTCAGCTCAACAGACTTCACTGAGATCTCAGGATCAGCTTTGTCTCAGATAGTTCTCCTAAAAGAGAAGGAAAAGACACACATTAATGTGGATAGCAGCTCAGATCATTCGCTCTCGGGAGACTTTGATGAGAAATGTTTGAGTTCATATGAAGAGTTTATTTGCAGCAACAGATAACTCGTCATTCAAAAATCATGTTTTTATTATGCTGTCATGTTTTTATTGTTAGTTAGCTTGATAGAGATTAATTAAAATGCACAATTAAAAAAAAACATGATTTTTGAAAAATGTTAAACACGGTGTTATCTGTTTTTGCAAATGAACTCTTCTTATCTCAGGAGACATCAGAATCTGAGCACAGTTTGAGACATAAAAATCCTCTCTGAAATCCTGGAGTTGCACATGAGATTATCAGGGTCTTTTTCTCAGGAGAAACATCTGAGAAGCAGCAGAGAAACAGCTGAAATATCGTGCTTATCGGAGTGTAGGTTGTGTTTAAAGAGCTTCAGGAAGGTGCTGCAAGACGCTGTAGATCAAACCACTAGTTACTGTTGAGATG